GCATTGTAGCAGTTCCAGGAATTCTGTGGCAGATTTACAGTCAGTGTTGTCAATATGGATGTTAAAATCACCTAGGAGGAGAACGGAAGGTGAGATGGCCCATAGCTGGGTCAGAAAATCAGAAAAGTCAGAGAGAAAGGAGGGGTTTGGCTTGTGGGGACGGTAGATTACAGCAGTAACCAAAGGAGTGGGACCAGAGAGTTTGAAGGCAAGATGTTCAAAAGAATGAACGGCAGGAATGGGAATGGTGGTTGTTTTAATGTACTTCCTGTAAACAGCAGCAACACCACCTCCCCGCCCCTCAGGATGAGGTTTATCAATGTATGTGAATCCTGTGGGAGTGGTCTGGTTTAGTGAGAAATAGTCCAGGGATTTATGCCATGTTTCAGTGAGGCAGAGGAAATCAAGGTTACTGTCCGTTATCAATTCATTCAGAATGAGGCTTTTATTGTTGAGTGAGCGAGTGTTGAGTAAAGCCAGTTTCAGGTGACATTGCTTTGTGATAGGCTGTGAGGACTGAGGAAGGGGACGGAGATTGGACAGATTCACGTGTTGTATGTTGTGGTGGCGTAACGAGGAAGTTCGGGTGCGACAGGACCATTGGGATGGGATGAAGTTTGGGGACGTGAAGTTGTAAGAAAACATGCGGCCAGAGCCTCTGTGTGAAGGATGGCCTCGGCGAAGTATTCCATGTTCTTTGAGAATGTCCATGCAGTCCGGACGCAGGTGGTTATTGAAGTTGTGATGATCTGATGTGGAGTACAGCGGCGGCATGGTCCAGTTGGGGAGCGCTAGCGTTAAGCTAGCATTAACTTGTGACCAAGAGCCGGTGTTACGTCCCTACTGGTTTTCAAACCTACTGGTTTCCCTTCCGTGCGCAGCAGCTGTTTTCTGCCTCTGTCGCCAGATTTGTCACACATTCACAAAAATATTGCTGGAGATCTATAAACCACATCTCATATCCATGGCGGGGATTATGATTGTATAAGTGAGCACTACATCACAGCCACATATGAAGAAATACATTGAAGAAAATATATTTTCTTCAATGTAAGAAGATCGCAACCACCTGGATTCGAACTCTGTCGAGCACAATAGTAAGAGATCTAAAGGCAGTCGCACTACACGATCCGCCACTTGCTCTTAAAAAGGTGTCAGTCATTCAGTTATTTATCCATTCAGTCATACCTCCTTACTGTCCAGGGAACGTTTTGGTTTAGGGTGAACTGAAACAACTGGTTACCTTGGGCGTCTCTAGTAAATAACGTTTAATATTATTATTGACTGAATATAATTTAGAAAACCCTGGGCTTTAAAATTATACATTTAAAAAAGCATTGATAAATATGTTTCGAGTGTGTTTCGAAGGTAACCAGTTGTTTCAGTAGTGCTGCTAACAATTACATGATCAAGTTTTCTGATGATACAGCCATCCTGGGTCTCATGACACATCGGATACAGCTGTGTACAAACATGAGATTCAGAACTTTGTCCAGTGGTGCGACAAACACTTCCTCATCCTCAATGTCAAGAAAACAGAGGAGATGGTATTCGACCCAAAATACATTGGAGGCCACTCACCAGTGGTTATTCATGACCAGAACATAGCACAGGTTGACTCCTACAGATACCTGGGCATACACATTGACAATAAACTGACATGGAGTGTTCAGGTAGAAAATGTGTGCACTAGGGTCTAACAGCGGCTACAGTTCCTCCGTAGGCTGAGGGTCTTTGGTGTCAACCAGAAAGTCTTGCTCCTCTTCTACCACGCCATAGTTGAGAGTGTCCTGCGGTTTGGCATCTCGCCCTGGTTTGGCAACCTCAGTGTACAGCTGAAAGCCCAGATCACCCGGCTAACACAAAGAGCCATGAAAATCATGGGAGTCAGACAGCATCCCATACTCCAGGCCGTCTTTGATGAAACTATCATCAGACAGGCCCAGAAGATTATTTCAGATCCCACTCACATCCTCCACCCTGAATACCAGCTTCTTCCCTCAGGCAGACGCTTCAGAGTCCCCCAGTGCAGCTCAACCGCTTTAAGAACTCCTTTGTCCCCCTGTCCATCAAAGCCCTAAATGGCAAGCTAGCCAGAGCTTAACACCTGTAACACCGATTTTTATTTTAATTTTTATTTTATTATCTTAACTATACACTACTGGTGCGTTGTACAACGGGCAGTGTGAAATTTATTTGTTGGCTTTTGCATGTACTGTAGGTACTGTGTGTGCGGGTATGTAATGTATGTATGCAATATGTTATTTGTATTGTTTTAACAGCAGACACTGTATGTATGTTTCCAAGACAAATTTCCTTCAGGACAATAAAGTCTATCTTATTTTATCTTATCTTACAATCGTAATCCCCGCCATGGATATGAGATGTGGTTTATAGATCTCCAGCAATATCTTTGTGAATGTGTGACGAATCTGGCGACAGAGGCAGAAAACAGCTGCTGCGTGCGGAAGGGAAACCAGTAGGGACGTAACACCGGGACTGAAAGATCCCGGCAGGATAAACAGGTGGGCTCGTGCTGGCTAGCGATGTGGCAGGCAGGGATGAGAAGACCAGTAGCAGGACAACGATGTAGCGCTGTGGACCAAACCCGGGAGTCCTGGGGCTAGCACGGAGGTAACTTTGGCAGATGGAGACGATAAGCTGATCTGGTGTGGCTAATCCAGTGAAGATATTTGTGTGTATTGGATGGTAGACTGCAGTATCTAGCCGCAAACACGCAGCTCAATTTTATCGGCCAAGTTTTAGCGTTGGGATCCAGTTAAACAGCAGAACTTTACAATCAAGTACGGAGCGGCAGCCAAGAGTTTGCCAACATCTGCCATCTTGATCATGTGTGGAGATAATAAGATAAAATAAACTAGTAATAATATAGGGATTTTATGAATGATGATATGGAAAGATGGGGACTCTACAGTTGGTGTTGGTAGCATCTCCTCCACCACATAACGAGCTACACGCTCTGTAACTTCCCTCTCAGTGACAGCAGAAAGCCGTCGCTGTGAGCCGTAGCACTGACATCGTTGTACCTCTTGACGCGCCTCGCCACCCACTAGTGTTCTGGAGCTGTACGTGCGCAGGAGCTCCTGCAAATTTGAAGTGGAGTCCTTCACGGCTGACAGACTCTTAACCAGTGGCGGATGGCCAATAGAGGGTGCTAGGGCGCCTCCCCCCTTGAGCCACAAAAAATAAAAATAATAATAAATTATACAAATTGTCAAGATTTGTGTTTTTGAAATATGGAATATATGTATACACATACATATACACATATGTGTATATGTATGTGTATATAATAAAATATGATATCTGCGCAAAATATATGCTCCCTGCTCGTCCTCTCTGCATGTCTCAGCTGCTCTGGGGCGCTGGAGAAATGGCCCACAGGAGGCGGGTCTATGAAGCAGTTTAGCCAATTGCTGATTAAAGATATAAATGTGTGACATACAATTTAGCCAATCAGCGTCCTCAAATACAATCAGCTTGGGGCAGAATCTCTATCGCCACAAATTGCGCGTTCTCGTCTGGACTAGTCTCCACAGGCCAGCGCGTGCACTGCTCCTCCAAGACCCGTTTGACAGGAGAACTTTTGCGGAGAAACTGCAGTGAAAGAGCAGATCCCAGATCAGCCTGACCTCACAATCAGACAGCAGACTAGCGGGAAAGGGAAGCAGTACATGCGAAGCTTCTGTACTAGCTGTAGCTACACCAGACAGGTTTGGCTAGCTGGATGACGTCATGCTAATAACTTATTTAGCTTTTTAAAACAACGGGGACAGATCCAGCACGGACAGTTAGGGAGTGAGGGACATGAAGCATGAAGTCTGAGAAATGGATATATAGTTATAAATACATCATTATATGTGTGTGTGTGTGTGTGTGATTTATATTATAGTGAATATTATTATATGATATATATATATTATTATATTATTATATTATACTGAATATTATATGATATATATATTATTATATTATACTGAATATCATTATATGATATATATATATATATTATTATATTATACTGAATATTATTATATGATATATATATTATTATATTATTATATTATACTGAATATCATTATATGATATATATATATATTATTATATTATACTGAATATTATTATATGATATATATATTATTATATTATACTGAATTCCCTGTGAGGGTGACAAAAATAAGATGTCCTGACGTGTTTATCAAAGTGTTATTTACTGCTTTTTTAGTTAAATATTTAACTGCAAAGTAGTAATACGTGTTTGATACCTTAATGTGTTTGCATTAAATCATTTTGGGATGTTTGCTGTAATTGATTGGATGTGGCACAGCCCTACCTAGAACATGTTCCACCAGCCACCACTGCTCTTAACATTATCCTCCAGACACCGTTTGCATTTTACCGTTATGTTTTATTAACACCTTGTTTATTTGAAAAGGTAACTAAATAACTGATTACTTGAATTGCAAACTAGCCAACCAAAAAACTCATCTGAGTACTGTAACACGATACTTTGTAATGGGCGACTGGCTCAGTGGTAGAGCGGGGTCGTCCTTCAATCAGAGGATTGGCGGTTCCATCCTCGGCTCTGCTACATGTGTCCTTGGGCAAGACACTTATCCCAAAATTGCTTCCGCAAGCTGTTCCTGCGGTGTATGAATGGCTATAAATGATTAGTTCGAGTCCTGATGGGCAGGTGGTACGGTAGCCCCGGTCATCAGTGTATGAATGGGTGTGAATGGGTGAATGATGACATGTAGTGTTAAAGAGCTTTGAGTGGTCTGAAGACTAGAAAAACACAAAGTACAAGTCCATTTACCATTTTACTCGCAATGCTGCAAATGATGATGTGCATGCTGACTGAATCACAGAACCACCCGGTTTGAATTATGTGGCTCTCTAAACAACATGGCTGCTCCAAACAGACTATTGCGATGTTGACCTTGTGTATAACTCTACTTCCCTGTCATCTCTCTGGTCAGGATCTCGACGGAGCACTCCCCCAAACTGCAGATCAGGAGCCACAGTTACCTGCGTGCGGTGAGTGAGGTTTCAATCAATAGAAGCCTGGATACCCTGGACCCCAAAACCCTCCTCGACCCCAAATCGCTGCTGTCCTCACCCCAATACCGCTCACGCAATGAAAGCTACATGAGGGCCATGAGCACCATCAGTCAGGTTGGTTGCCAACACTGCTGTCTTTATGTTGTCAGGATGCTCCACCCGGTCATGTTACCATAGATACACCGAGGCTTGGAAGGATGTGATGGAATATGTGGGGAGTGGTCAACCACATTGAAAACAAACTTTCATTTTACGCCATTATTTCTCTTGTACTATTTGTTCGTCTGGGAGATGAACATGCATACTTATTGGCTGTATGACCAGCTGGATTTCTTTCTTTCACGGGTTCACTGTTTTCCAACACAGACCTTATTAGATATTTACTTATATGAAATTAATTTCACCATACCTCATTTTTGAGAAACTTGTTTTGGGCCTCAACACAATCCGATGAAGTCATTTTTCAACTTCATTGAAAATCTTGATAGTCGTTGACAAAACAAAGGTCCACTTGCTCATTTGTTTTAGAGCTTTTGACTATACCACATGGTCGTGACTTTGTTCAGTTGCCAAGGATCTGTCGAAGATCAACCAATCCATGATGGGAACAATGCTTTGTTCTCGTGAACATGACATTCTCAGGAGGTCTAAAGGATTGAGAGAAGCTTCTTCAGAGGCTTCTAGAGAGTTCTAAAAACTGAGGTGAGTTTCTGGTGTGCCCAGAGGTGCAGCGGTGCATGTACTGTACACAAGTATATGGCATAAATCCACCTGTGGACAGGGGGATTTACTCTACACCAGGGGTGTCAAACTCAAATACACAGTGGGCCGAAATTAAAAAATTGCTACAAGTCAAGGGCCAGACAGGTTCAACGTTTATTGAAAACTTATTGAAAGAACCTTAGTGCACATGTTGAACCTGGAACTAACAAGGCCTATAGAGTATTGCCTATAAAACAACATTAATTATGAAATAAATGAAATAAAAATAATAAATAATACATAAATAAATAAAAATAAAAGTAATAAAATCAGTTTCATTAATTGCTTATGGCTCTATCTGCAGTTTTTCCAGAGTAATTTCAAGTGAAAACATTTTCTACAGGCAAACAACAGCCGAAAATAATTTACTTCAAAGAAAAATCAAATGTCCTGTAGTAGCAAGAGAAAAAAAATGCAAAAATGAAACTGCATTAAAAACTGAAAATGCGTCAAAGCACCGTTTGCTGCTCTGTGATGCTCACTGGTCTGAGCCAGACACTTGGTGTCTCATCTTGGATACAAGTTCATCAATGTCTGGGGCCAGGCTCTGAGCTGAGGAAATCCTCAGGATTGAGTGAAGGTGCTCATCAGTAAGACGAGTCCTGTGTGAAGTTTTGTTTATCTTCATCAAAGAGAACAGTTGTTCACACAAGTATGTGCTGCCAAACAGAGAGCGTTTGAGCAGCCTGGGAGCGCAGCTGGGGCATTGTGTCGGGGATGAAACGTGGAAACTGCAGCGCCCACAGACTCATATTTTGCCTTCAGTGTGTCATTAGATTGGAGGTTTGATGGTGCGTTTTCCACGTCAGCTGCAAATGGATTACTGAGCAGTTCAAACCTGCTTTTTTGGGCTTCAAAATCGGCAAATCGCCGTGTGAAGTCAGCACCAAGTATGCCGAGTTTTTCAGCAAACTGTGTAGTTGGGAAGGCAGCGACCTGCTCTTTCATTGTTTGGCAGTGCGGAAAATGGCTCAAGTTTTCCTGCAGCATCTGCGTCTCCCACAGGCGCAGCTTGGTTTTAAAAGCCCTCACTGTAGCGTACATGTCAGTGATGACACGGCCCCGCCCCTGAAGCTACAGGTTGAGCGCATTCAGGTGGCTCGTGATGTCACACAGAAACGCCACTTCACACAGACACATTTTATTTCGGAGCTCTGTTGTGCCTTTCCCTTTGCTTTCCATGAACTCACAGATCTCCTCACGCAACTGGAAAAATCTTTCCAGCACCTTTCCCTGGCTTAGCCATCACACCTCTGTGTGATAGGGCAAGTCACCATATTCTGTACTTAACTCCTCCAGAAAAGACTTGAACTGGCGGTGATTTTCTGGGCACACGGCGTCGCAAACTTTAATCATGCAGTTTTTGACAAATTGCCTCTCGGTAAAGGGCCGGGCTGATTTTGCAACCTCTGCTGCCACAATAACACTGGCCTTAACAGCAGCCTCGCTTTGTGATTTGGCTTTAGTGAACATAGCCTGCTGTGACACCAGACTTCTTTTTAACTCCTCTACCTTCTGTAGCCTTTGTGTCGTGTCCAGATGCTTGTATCTGTCTTGGTGCTTCGTTTCATAGTGTCTTCTTATGTTGTATTCTTTCATTACAGCCACACTGTCTCCGCACAGAAGACACACAGATTTGCCCTTTACATCCGCGAACATATACTGTGCCTCCCACCTGTCTTGAAAACTCCTGTTTTCAAATTCTACCTTTCGTTTAGCCATTTTTTGGGGCGAGGGATAGTTGAAAGATGACACAAGTGGTATGTAATACAGACTGTGAGGCGCGTGTTCGCGGGTCCGCGATTGACGTGCCGACACACGGGCAGTGCATTGTGGGATTTGTAGTATTATGGTGGTGCGTGCGATATACCGGCGGGCCAGCTCTAATAGTAAATAGATTTTATCATGCGGGCCAAAGATAATTCATTCACAGGCGGATGTGGCCCGTGAATGAATTATCTTCATGTGCTCTACACCAACGTAAATACAGCCAGAGACGTGTATCAGTGTAAAGCATGGCTGCAGCCAGTCATGTTATTCTTTCATGTAATCACAGTAGACTTTGCTGTTCCCAGACTTGAGCCTTGTTCTTTGAGGCAATAGGTATCGACCGATACCGAGGACCAATCAGATCCCAGTCTTTCATTAATAAGCTGTTTGCCTCACTGTGTGGAGGTGACCGGGATCACATTTTTTATGTGTAAGGCAACATTAGGTTTCTCTTAAACACTGCCTTCCAAACTGTAAAACAAAATGCAACAGATAAATACATAGATATACATTTATTCAACAGTTATTTGGTATTAACACAATAAATCAAACACCAGCAACTTGGTTTGAACTTTAGTTTAGTAACAAGTGTAAACCCTTTTAAATGCAGCAACAAATAAGTCAAAAACTTAAACAGAAATTCAAATTCAAGTGTATAACGTTTATGGTGTTTCAACATAGAATTTAATTGAACAGATCCATTCTCACCGTTACCGGATCAAGCTATTTCAGTCAGTGTTGGCTCCATATCTGTATGGGAGCATCTCTCGTCCTAAGCAGGCATTCAGGCAGAAAACAGCCCTGTGTTACATTAATGCTGCTTTCATGTAGCTGGAGACGTATTTCATTGGCCAACCCAGAATGGCATTGCATCACATTGCAGCCAGGTTAAACCTTTGTGCGTCAGTGGGTTCTTTCTTTTTCTTCTTTTTGTTGGCACCCTCCATATGTTAACACAGACCGACAGGAGAGGGTGTTGTTATGCCTCCGTGCCGTCCGTCTGTCTGTCCATCCCGTTCTAATGAACGCAATACTGAACGCTTGAAGGGAATTTCTTCAAATTTGTCACAAACATCCAATTGGACTGAAAGATGTAATATTTAGATTTTGGAGGTCTAAGGTCACTGTGACCTCACAACAAAACTTCACACAAAAGTCTAACGGCATAAAATGATGAAGTGATGACATGGTTGTAAACTGCAACTTGATTGGTTGGCGAAGGCTGTAATTCTAGTTTGTCATGCAGTGCTGGTTTCTGTCTGAACCCAACCTGAAACAACACCAAGCCTGAAGGAGAAGCTTCGTCTTGGAGGAACAAAAAGTCCCTTCCCTATCTGTTGCTCAGAAGGATGGATGTACAGTGTTTAACTCGCTAACTCTGAAGACACCACTACACCACTGACACGATGCTGTCCAGGTTGAAAAACAGTGCACCCGTCACTGTTAGAAATGTAATCTGAGCCCAGGCCTGTGCACAGTGCATCACCACTTCATGTCTCCAACTCCATGAATCCATCCATCATATTACAAGTGCTTACTTCCAGGACATGTCTGGTCGTGTTCTATATTTTTTTTCTTGTCAACAAATCCCATGTGCCGACCCAAGCCAACACTGAATGTCTCCACTAACCTATACCAAGGTCTGATATATCTTGATCCTCTGTGCCATAGAGCTCCATTGTTGTCCGAAATCAATTAAAAACACATCAATGAGCCACAATGTACAGTAGCTTGTCATTACCATGAACACACACACTGTGGTTTATTTTGACACACACACGTCCTGCTGCCCCAAAAACACACAAACGTGGATTCATGTGGATAGTTCCCTCCAAACGCACTCCTGTTTGATCAGCGACCGGCTGTTTTAGTACATTAGCAGGCCTTTAAAAAAAAAAAAAGTAAATATTTGGGAGCCACAATGCATTAAAGATCTAACGGAGCTGAGAGAAGACAGGAAGGGGAAGTCAGAGAGCACTGAGAGACGTACCAGCAGCACGTTGTTGGTTCGGGTCTTTTTTATAGAATTTTTGGAGAAAAAAACAGAATTACGGCAGAATAATAAAAAATTGTTCTAGTTCATTCCTATTTGAATATTGATGTCAGTTATGTAGGGGATAATTCATGACCGCATGGTTGTTGAAGATGCTGCACTCAGCACTGATGGTTGAGTTATTTTTCTTAACGTTACACCTCGGAGGTAACCTGACTTATACAATCATTGCTTGCCGATGATCAAAATATAAATATTGTTCAATCCTGTAACCTTGGAATAAACATGACTTTACTAAATAACACCACAATCTGTACACATGTGACATCCTCTGTCCCAGGACCCTCAGGTCAGAACAGGAAAAACTCCCCCAAAAAAAACATTTACAGGGAGAAAAAAGGAAGACAAGAATGTTACAAGAATGTATCTTGAGTGGACAATCCTGGCTGGAAGGTAGAACACAAAGGGCTTCCAGTTTTATACAACTCTCATTGAATTATTTTTTTTTACGTCTACACCTTGTTTGGTGATTTCCTGACACCAAAAGAACCCGTTTGCACAGATGTGAGCGCAGAGGGGCAATGAGGTTGCGTTTCTGCTGATCAGGTGGCACAATGCAATTGTTCTCGTTTTGGCACGAAATTGGGTTTGTATTAAAACCTGCCTTATTGTAGCAGATGCAGGACAATTGTCACACAAACCTCTCCAAAATCACAATGTTGAGGTCTGGCCTGTTGCTGTCTGCTTCACATTTTTATTTACTGCAGATTCATATGTGCAAACTAGAAAATGCATTTCCTGCTGAAAATGCGTTGGAATGCTGAAAGCTGAAATGAATTGTAAAAAAATTGCTGAAAATTAAGAAATGGGAGACTACCCGTCTGAAAAATGTTGAAGCTTGAAAGCATTTAAACTGCACTGCTGAAAACCCTTCTAGTTGAAATGTCTCACTATGGTGTCTGTAGCTGAAAGTATGAGGAAGAAGAAGGCTTTGAAATTTGAAGAAGTTTAACAGGCTTTGAAGATTTTCTCCATAGAGATCCCTTTCAAAAGAAAATTGCAAAAAGCTTAATAATTCAAAAAGTTGAAAGATTACAAATATGAAAAATCATATCACCCTCTCCTGAAAGAGCTGAACATTTTGATATTGGAACGGTTTCTGTGGCTTAAAAAATGTCAGCAGTAATGATATTTGTAGTAGTAGTACTAGAAGTTGTAGTTGTAGTAGAAGTATTAGTAGCATTAGAATAAGTAGTAGTAGCAGTAGTGATATTTGTAATAGTAGTACTAGAAGTTGTAGTTGTAGTATTAGTATCATTAGTAGTAGAAGTACGTATTAGTATTTACAAGAAGTAGTAGAAGTAGTAGTATCAGTAGTAGTAGTAATAGCTGTAGTAGTGGTCGTAGTATTTAATATAACATTAGTAGTAGTAGAAATAGTAGTAGTAGTAATAGTAATGGCAGTATTTGAAGTATCAGTAATAGCAGTAGTAGTAGTACTAGTAGCAGTCATACTAATAGCTGTAGTAGTATTAGTACTGGTAGTAGCATGAATAGCAGTAGTAGTAGTAGCAGTTGTAGTATAAGTAATAGTGGTAGTGGTAGTAATAGCAGTAGTGGTAGTAATAATATTGATGGTAGCAGTAGTAGTAGTAATACTATAAATATTAGCAGCAGTAGTAGTAGTTGTCGCAGTATTAGTAAGAGCATTCATTATTTCAACAAAAACCTAATTTTGAGCTTAATGTTTAAATACAGTTAATCCATGGGGCTTTTATTTTGAAAGGGTGGGGCTGGGTGGGGGGAGAGGGGACATAATCATGTTTGACACATAAACAGAGGTTATTAAATGACAGGCTTCAAAATTTAACATTGGTCTGTATGGAGCAGAAAGTTGGTTTTCCTCTCAATTACAGGCTTCTGTGCCAAATGTGTAAATCTGTGGGATTCCACAGTCATTTGTCTACGACAAGGACAATATTAGCTACTTTTAAATCCAGAAATGATGCATGAAGAGTGAAGATTGTGGACACAGTGGTAAAAGACAAATGTTTTTTTCACAATAATCTCAAGCTGCTCTTCACTCTAGCGGTGACATCACGCACTCTAAACTGCGCAATACACACCCATTATAAAGTCAGAAAAGGGCTGAAAAAATCATAAAAGTTAAAATGGGACAGTTAAAAAAGTTTAAGAGACATCAAAAAGCTGAATTATGTTGCAATAGCTTAGGATTTTCTCAACATTTTAAAGTTGAAATGGTGTCTGTAGCTGAAAGTATGAGGAAGTAGAAGGATTTGAAAGTTGAAAAAGTTTAAGAGGATTTGAAAATATTCTCCATAGACATCCCATTCAAAAAAAAGTTGCAAAAAGCTTAATAATTCAAAAAGTTTAAAGATTATAAATATGAAGAGATATATCACACTTTTCCTGAAAGAGCTGAACATTTTGATATTTGAACGGTTTCTATAGCTTAAGAAATGAAGAAGCAGAAGAGTTTCAAAAAACAGGGGACGAAAGAAATATAATAAAAAGAAGTACAAAGAGAAACAGGATAAAAACCACACATGTATATACAGTTAACAAATAAAGTGTCTCAGTAACGTGAGTTATTGATAGAACATGAAAAAACACATTACATTTTACTGGAATTGTACCGAATGTGATTACATGTGACATATAAAATTGACAACTGACTGACATGTTATGGTGCGTTCACACCAAACGCGTCGCGAATTATTCGCACGAGTAGATTACATAAAAAGTCTATGCACAGACGCGATGAGACTGGCGCGGCGAGAATTTGCGATGGCGCAGCGCGATTGACGCGAATTTGCGGCGCGATTGAACGCAAATTCGCGTCAAACGCCAAATCGCCCCAAACACGCGAGTTGAAATTTTTCAACTTCTGCGAAATATTCGCGTTACGCCCCAGCGTGATAGCCTATCAGCGTTGAGTTGCTTCCCCTGTCATCAGTGACGTCCTGCCGTTGTTGAATCAGGAAATAAATACTGTAGCCGTCTGTGTTCACCCAGAGCTCTACGATACCTCATATCAACAGAGACCGGTCCAAACTATGTGTATAAATGTGTGTAAAGCATATGGTACAAACAATGAATAGACGCTGCCGTATTTACGTCTACATGACGTTATTCTGACTGTTGGTGGAGCTGCTACAATGTTAGCATAGCTTAGCACCGATCCATCCGCTCCATTGAGAAGACAAGTAGCCTACAAATTGGCATCATTATGTAGTTGTTTCAGAGTCCCTTTTTGTCGGTTTATTGCCGTTAAATCACAGCCAAATCAGTTTATTTAGTGTTCATACAGCTGTAGTAAACAGCGACGTGTGGCTCACTAGACACAGTGAATACACTTCGATAAAATCCATGGAGCTCCTCTGGATGAATTCTCGATGAATACGCGGCGCGATGAATATGCGTGTGAACGCACCATGAGGTCATTTTTTATCTCCCGACCAGATACCTGAGCGGGTCCCGTTTGTAAATCCCTTCTAGTCCCACACCTGTACAGCTCAACACAAACTGATGCGATAGCCTTAATTATCTCCACTTGTAAGACAAAACCTGACCTGCCCTGTAATCAAATATTTGCTCCGATCTGCTGCTGGGCACTGCAGCCATGGTGCAGGATGCTGTAAGAGCAAACAATAGTTTTTCTAGTTTCTAACCAGCAAATCTCCAAACTTCAGTTAGTTTTTGTATTAAAGATATGATTGTTTGTGCAACGTAACCGGCCCAATACGTTTTCACTCCCAACTCGTCACATACAGACACTTGGTGTTTGGCCCCTTGCCTTCCCTTGGCACCGAATCCCAACCGGTGCACCTCTTCAGTGAACTGGGCTGCTAGAAAGAGTTAGGTAAACAGGGTTGTTCTTGAGTATGAGAAGCTTTTTGAGTGATACTCAGTTCTCCTTCAGAGGTAGCTTCCCTGGCAACCAGCAACCGGAGTTCCGTGTGACACCACATCTCCTTTTCCTCCTCAGGTGGGCCGACTTCTTACCCAGTGGCACCATGTGGGGGCGGGGGGTTTCATTATGCTAACTTGTGCTGCCTTGTGTCCTCTCTCCTCCTGTGACAAGGAGTTAGTTCCCCAAACATGGAGGATCCCCGAAACGCACCCAGAGGAGCGAGGAAACACGGGTGTATCCTACGTGGAAATCTTTTATGAAGTGACACTATTGAACTAAGGATTTCTCATTTTGGCAGATTCAACTGCTCCGTCCTCCCGTCTCTTTCTCATGTTGTCGCGTTAGCATAATGGAAGGAGGAAAGGAGACATGTTGGTATAATGGAAGGAGAGGAGACCTTTTAGCATAATGGAAGGAGGAAAGGAGACATGTTAGTATAATGGAAGGAGAGGAGACCTTTTAGCATAATGGAAGGAGGAAAGGAGACATGTTAGTATAATGGAAGGAGAGGAGACCTTTTAGTATAATGGAAGGAGGAGAGGAGACATGTTAGCATAATGGAAGGAGGAGAGGAGACAAAAGCCAATCCCGCCCCCTGTAGCAGGAATCTGTGTCCCTTGTGGTAGACCTAACCCAGAGCTAACAGTAAGGGGTGCCCCCTGCATACAAAGTGGTACCTGAAAATGATCCTGTGGTTGAAAAAGGGGTTTTCACAGACCATGAGCCACCAAGGAATCACATAGATGACAGCAAGCAAACACTCATTAATGCCTTTGTGACCTGCATGGCCAAAGCATCTCTTGCTGCCCGAACTCTAACTAACAATAGTGTGCTTTTTCAAAAAAATGTAATATTTTGAATGAAAACATTCTGGAAGTTTCCCTGATGTCCATCCTCTTCATTGTTCCCTCTGTTTCTCCCCTCTACTCTCTCTCTGCCTGCTCCCCCTCTGATGTCCTCCCCCCTGTCCTCCTCCAGCTGAGTGAGGTGGAGGTGAACGGGCAGATCGAACAGGTGTGTGAGCAGGTCTACAGTGCGATGCAGGCCCAGGCTATGGAGGCTGCCATGGACAGCATGGAAACCATGGACACCCTGCCAATGCCAGGGTGCTTCAGGATGCGGAGCCACAGCTATGTGCGCGCGATTGACCAGGGCTGTTCGGGGGAGGAGGAAGGAGAGGGAGGGAGGCCGCTGCTCCTGCTGCCATCCTCCCCACCACGCACATCTGCCACCACCGTCAGGACCATCCAGAGCAGCACAGGTAGGGCAATTAGGCAGGAGTGGACGTTCAGTCATTTTTCAGTGTGTCCAAACTTTTCATACAAGGGTTCACATGGAGATAAACTCTATAGTTCTGGGTACGCTTGACGAAATTACAAGATTATCACGATATTGGTTGGCCAGGACAACGGTCCTCATCTGTCCACGGTAACAGAACGATATTCAGTTATGCAACGCCTGTTATGAATTAACGCTATATTCAGTCCCTTCTTTCTCTTTTTCAAGACTTTACAAGGGCAGTTACTACCAGGTGATTGATCTTATTTGTTGATCTCAGCATGCCCTTGTGTAAAAAGGCACTTACTGATTGTACATTGGTACTTCAGGCTATTGCAACATTTGTATCTATATATCTTTGTCCGTCTCTCTCTTCAACTTTTTTAGTTACAGTAAGACAATTTTATTACTAGTAAATTGAACTCAGCTTAAATATCACTCTTAATGAGAACAGGGTTGTTCTTGAGTATGAGAAGCTTGTTCCCGGACTGAAGTTGCTCAGTTACAAGTTTGCTTACATATGCATGAAGAGTCTCATAAGCGGAGCATCCTTTTGGTATGGTGCCCTATCTGGGTAAATCTGGACTTGTCCAAACCCCTGTTGATAGTAGGAGCTGTTGGTGGAGACCTCGGAGAGTTTCAGATTTAATTACAATACGCCCCAACATGCACCTCCTCCTGTACTCCTTCCACATCAACAGAGAAAGGGTTTGACAACAGGTTCATGTTTTAAATCCTGTGATCAGTGATGTGAGCACAGTCACATATTTACCCATTTTTCCAGAAATGTTTGCATTTTATTTGTCATACCTTTTGGAAGCTTTCGCTTTCTGCCATGTCGAGTTCACTTTTATAAGATTTAAGTAAAATGCCAGTCTTGAGTCAGGGACACCTTCAAGAAGTTAATCAAATACCCTGACTCTCTATTTTTTGACTTCCTCTACTTTCCTATCCTCTCTGTTGTAGCTCAATATTAATCCTCACACGTGTGGTACTTGCTGAGCTGTTACATCATTGGCCGATCATTCTGAGGAACAAGCACACTGCTGCTGTCTGGGAACAGTACTCAGATCTTTGATAACATGACGAGCCAAATGAATCAGCTCCCCAGTTCTCTCAAGAGAGCTGACAATTATCTGGCCTCCATTTCCATGTGACTTCTTCCGGAGGAGTCCCATGAGTTGGACTGTTAGTCACAGCCTGCATTACTCTAGACATGGTAGTTCTAATGTTGAAATATGTAATGTTAATACCACAAGCTACTACAAACTCAAAAGGAGCTGCAAAAACCACCTTAAGAAAACTGTTACATGCAAAAAAATATCGATATAAATGTTGGCTGGCCCTGCAGACAGTAATGAAGTACTGTTTGTTTTACTGGAAGTGGTTTTTTTAAACAGCTAACGACTATTTAATACAAAACATGTCAGCGCATGAATGTGAATCAGTAAGACTTGCCCACCAAAGCCAGAGGAGCACTGATGGAAAAAGACAAACAATGTAGGCCACTGGTTTACATGGATCAGTTCAAAAGTCATTATGTTCTTTTCTTCTCCTTAATCTGGACTGCAGTTCTGTAGATTACACGACTAGATAACTTGGTGCTGCAGTGATCCGTCTGGGGAAAAAGCCAGTCACTTACTCCGTGTGTACACTGGATCAGCCACAGCACTGCTGTGTTACATAACAGGAAGAAGAATTGTAAAAACGCTCCGGGTTGCAGTTACGTGCATAACTGCACTCTGCCTTGCGCTGTAACAATGAACCAGAAATCTCACAGAGATAATCTTGTAAAAGTACCAAAAAAAGTCTGTCTTCATGCGTGGTATTCAGATGAGAACATGCCACAGTGGATGCCACGGGGGACTTTGTGTCGGCTGTTTGGTATTAGGGTTGTCTTTATCTTCAAAGTGCTCAACTGGAGGTGACCTACATTCGCTGCTCCTCTGGGAATTCTTGTAGAGTTAACCAAGAGGATAAATGGACACACACACACACACACACACACACACACACACACACACACACACACACACACACACACACAAATGTGTGTCTATATACTATTCACTCATGCACACACCCGCACAATCTTCTGCAGTCACACAGTACAGTAGATGGATCCACATGACTGGAGATTGTGCTGAGAAATGTTGGTCCAATGTCCACTGAACTGAGTCATCCACTCAGACCTATTGTGCAACTGCATTATTATCACCACAGGACTTTTAACAGCTGCATTTGGCATTTTTCTTTTATTTGTTCACTCATATTCATCTGTGGTATATTTGATCAACCCAGAATGCAAGAAAACACGAGAGAAAATATGCGGTTTCGCTGAAAAGATTATCCACCGGATGACCCAGCGAGAAATTTGTTCAGTTGTTCCAGCTTGTGAGTCTGTGTGCGAGTCCTCATGGTAATGTGGTCCAGGAGATATCAGCTGTAGCAGGAAGTACCACAGAAGAGGTTTTGAGGATTTTGCCAGGTGTTTCTATTTCTGTCTGTGAACAGAAACTGTGCAAGATGCAGTTAAGAAACCTTACAGGTGTTTAGTTGAGATCAAAATGAAGGCGGAGTCAGAACATGGGAGTGGTCTGAGAAATGGTGCCGGAAGAAGGGGGGTAGGAAGCGTGGAATGGCCCCCCATTGTACGCCCCTGGATGCATTACGGTCACGTTTGGTGTGATCTCTAATCTTTCATTAATCTTAACAAAAAGTTGTTATATTGCCTAAATTCACCAGACATCCTCCTGTGCTTTCACCATCCGCCATGACTACCCCCACACTCGCTTTTAAGTATAAAAAAACAACTCAAAAGTATAGTTTGTCATCTTGGGATGTATGATTTTGCTGAGAGCTAATGTTCTGCCACTCTCATGTGTAAAGACTAAAGGGGCGTCCCCGACCAAGAATGACAAAGTCGAATCTGATTGGTTAAGTATTGCCTGTCTATGACTGATCGTAGAATTATGTTCTTTTTTAAATTGCTCATTGATCCCCCCTCTGTGTCAGCTTCATGTATCAATAGAAAACAAAACAACACGATTAATAGCTGAAATACATGTGTGTAGTGTATAGTGTGTGTGTGTGTGCACGTGTAGGTGCAACACTGTCCAAAGTACTGAAGCTGAGCTGCTTTCCGTGGTTGTAAATGGAACTTTCGGTCCAAATTCATCAAAGCAAAATGTGGTCCAGGAGACGCCAACTGTCATTTTCACAGTTTGGTTTTCGTACAGATCAAACAAAAAAATGTCTAAACTCACTAATTAACACGTTAAATCTTGTTTGTCTAATCTGCACAAAAACCAAACTGTGAAAATGATACTTTGCCATTTTTCCGTCTCTGCTGGCCGGCAACTGCTGTTTTTTACACTTCAATTTTGCTCCATAATACAAGATAAAATGAAATGAACATAGCAAATCAAATGAAATGCAAGACAAATAAAGATAGACAAAAAGAAACTGAATGCATCCATTTATGCGATAAAGTTTATCTTGAACGTCACTAACTCGTCAGGATGTTTTCAAGAAATAAGTAGGTTTGAGGAAGCGCTGGAGAAATTAAAAGGGTTTCTTTCTGAGGCCAAATTTGAAGCAAATTGTCATTTTAAATTGGATAACTTGACTTAGGTGATGACGGAGCAGTCCATTAGAGCTGAATCAGTGGAGCCTGCATGTCTCATCATGCACTTTAAGGAAAGCTTTCCTGCTCTAGTTCTCAGCTGAGAGAGCTGTAGCTGAAGGAAAATGACGTTTGTGGTTAAAGAGAGAATGAATAAAGAGGAAAGACAGAAAGAGAAGGGGTGTCCAAACGATGTTGATTGTGGGCCATGTCAAGAAAAATATGAAGATGTCACGGGCCAAACAAAAGTGATTGTGTAGTTTTCAACCAGTTACAGGAAATGAGTGTTTCTAGAACAGAAAACCCCATGTGCTATAGAATATTCATTTTATTATCAAAAATACTACCCAACACGTCAACACTTCTAATACAGTGCATGGCCTAAGGGCCCACTAACAATCTGATGATGGTATGTGTAAATATGTAAATAAGTCAAATTTAAAACAGGCAGAAGCATCCAAATATTGGCTTCTGTTCATGGCCTTAGCGCTCACTTAAAAGATTCCAAAGTAAATGTAAATGTAAGCTGTGAAGTCTAATATTAGAATGTAACACACTGAACAGGCAGAAATGGTAAAATATTGTTTTCTGTGCCAAGAGGTTCCAAATTTTACTAAATTTAGTCGAAATCTTGTGATTTGACTAGGACATGAAATATACATACAGTGCATTTTCTTAGAAATAGGCTTAAGCTAATCTCTATTTTATTCTAAAGAACTCACCATAGTTTGGCCACCCTAGAGATTGAGGTACTGCTCTAACACCAGAATAAAGAACTACAGGATAAAAAGACAAAAAACCAGGATGGAGACACATAGATGAGATGAAAGATAGACAGATCAGAGTCTGCATACCAGCATGACTGAGGGAGTGAGAAAGGCAGAGTTTCTACGGTAAAACGCAACTTAAATGAGGTCAGTCTGAGTAAAGCAGCACAGCAGGCTGATGAGCTGTGTACCCAGTTAATCACCTCCTCTCTTTGTGCTTCCTCACCAGCTCCATTCAGCTGCTGAGGGCCATATAACATCCTTCATATTCATATGAAGACAAACACTTCAGCCTTCATGTCATGCCTTTTAGGAATGCTTTCTCTCAGTGATGTTTGACCTTTGCTGAATGTAGTTAACACCACTCCTCTCAGTCTCTCTCTCCATTGTGCACCATCAGATAGAGGCAAAAGTATCTACTGTATAGTTGTAGTGTATATTTATAGACTCACTTAACTTTTCTTTACACCCAATTAGAAATAAAGCAGTGTAGTCCAACAGCTCTGCAGTAAATCCTTCCTTCATGAAGGCTCAGTTTTGAGTTGAAACTGTTTCAGAGAGATGTTGATTCATTGGACTGTATTTTACTGA